CCCCAAAACCCCAAAACCCCAAAACCCCATAGCATATTATAGTGAGGACAGTGAGGAATGATTATTTTGAAGGAATAAAGTTTAAATTATAAAAGAAATAAATGTCTTAATTTAAAATATTAATCATTTAAACTCTAAGAAAATATTCAACTTTTACTATCTGCAATAGAGACAATGTCAAGTGTTTACTCACAGAAGACTGGATACTCTTCTCAGTCCAAGAATACTATTAACTCTTAAGTTTCAAATTACATGAATAAAGCCAAAGGAGGTGGTTATTCAAAGCTTACCTAGGCTAAAACTGAAGCTTAGCAGAGAGAAATTCTTGAGAAACTAGAAACTGAAAAGTAAAGAGAGAAGCGAATTATCATGGAAAAGAAGCAGAGAGAAAAGTATGATATTAATTTTACTACATTAGATGCTTAATCAATATTTTTATAGAGAAAAAGAGAGAAGAATGGCTGAGGAAAGACTCAGAAAAATCAATGAAGAGAATGATTTGCTTTAAAAGAAGAAGGACTAGTAGAAGGAATTTTATACCAGATTTCTCAGGTAGACCGCTGAGTAAAATTTAAAGAAGCATGAGGAAAAGCAAATTCAGAATGTGCAGCAGGTCATCAATAATCACGACAGGATGCTTGCATAAAACAACAATAATCGAAATATATACTAAGGTAATTTAATAAAGGTTATAATGGATAAACTATAGCATTAAATTAAAACTCTTCAGTAAATTAGATATAGCAATAGCAAAACAGTTAATTGTCGTAGGGTAATGTCCAGAGTAAGTTTCAAAGTAAGATACCTAGACCAGCTTTTGCCAGTTAGCTGCCATTACCGAGCAGATAATTCAATATAAACAAACCAATTGACTCAGAAAAAGAGGAAAATTTTATTAGCAAAATGAATGGTCTTGACCTTGAGTTATCATAAACAAAAAGAATATTTGGCTTTTAGAACTAGAGTAATGAGTAAAAAGCAAACAATAAGGCAAATCCTAGGTAAATAGAATAGTCACCTTCAATAGAGAATAAAGTTAGGGGATTATTCGATAGGGGAGATTTAATAGACAGCTTGGATCTAAATATAGGCTATGAAAGTATTTAAAAGTTAAAGGACGGATGGGGTTTCGGAGCTGCTGCAAGGCCGAAGAATACTTTGGAGGAGAGTAAAGCTGATAAATTCATGAAGGATTCTGACTTGCTTTAAAAATAACCAAAATAAATACAAAGTCAGACAAGAGCGACTATATAGAAGTAAGAGACAGAAGAAGTTGATTTGGAAAGAGACTCTGATGTAGAAGATTTATTGGAGGAGGAAAAATAAGTGCTTAATGATGATGAGATGAAATTACTTGGCGAGAGGGTTGGATTCGCAGGAGGGAGGAAGTAAGAAGTATCAAATAAAGATTGGATAGAAAGTTCTATCAGACAAAGTGTGAGTGAATGGAAAGGTATGTTCAAGTATAATAAAGAAAACTAAGATACTCTTAACTAACCAGAAATTATAAATCATAAGCCTACTTGGATAGATCAATAGTACAGTAAAGAAGTTAATTTGCAGAAGATTTTAGCAAATAATGATAATAAAGCGGAAATATAAACCTAATAGTAAGATGAAAAGATAGAGGAAGATGAATTTACCTTTGGGCAAAAATAGAAGCAATAAGATCGATAGTTGAATCAAACAAATAAAAATTAACCATAATAACAACAGTAAAACAAGCCACCAGTTCATTAAAAGACTGTAAGAAATCCATCAGCTATTTCGCGAGCACCCAAATTTGATGATAATAAGTCAATGATAAGTAAAGCTTCGAGAGCATCGTCAAAGTCTAAGTCAAGTATTTAGCATTCTACCAGTAGTTCGATTATCCTCAGTAAAGAAGAGGAGTTAAGGTTAGCAAAGGAAAAAAAGGAGTAAATGGATAAGATCAAGAAGTAATATTCGCAAGTTGGAAAACCCAAAAAGAAGAGAGAGGGGTCTCAAGCAAGAGGCGACTCACCCACTGGTGCTACCACCAAGTGCACCAGAGATGAAGATATAAATATAGAGGAATTTATGAAAGATGACTTGAGAGCTATAAATAGAGAAGAGGATAGAATACAAAGAGAGTTACTCAACATTCACAAATCAAATATTCATAAACACCACTAAGTAGTGGAGAAATTCCAAATTGACACCAAAATCAAGAACACAGAGGAGCTCGTGAGAAAACTGGTTAATGCACCTGCCTAGTCTCAAAGCAATGCTGAAAATGCTTATAAAAATGAATAGTTACTTAAGAATAAGAATTAGCTAATGAGGCCAGGAGTGTCAGAAAAATTGGAGGAGTAAATTGAGGAAAGTCTAGAGAACTTAGATAATTTACTCAACAATATGAAATCTAAAGACCCATAGAAACGAGAGGCAGAGATTCTTAAAATTGGCAAAAAGTATAACATTGATTTTAACCTGAGTGCAGAAGCATAAGAAAATACTCAAAGTAATCTTATAGGATATAGCAAATAAGTTATATAGTCATACTAACAACCATTCAACTACAATGATTAAAGAAATAATATAGGTTCAGAATAAATTAATAAAGGGCAATATATTATGAGCAATAAACAATAACATCAATCTATTCAACAAAACAATTAATCTGCTCAAATTAATCAAATTTCAGGAGGTAAATTGATTGAAGACGACCATCATGAATCTATTAATATTAACTCTCACTCAATGCAAAAAGGATATTGCTAAAACAATAATGGCTCATAAATTGTTCACCCTCAAAACTAAGGGTTTTAGTTCCAACCATTTAACAATGCTAGCATTATTAATAATCTATATTCTCAACAATAGCAGCTTTAGGAAAATCTGAACTAATTGATGTACTAACAGCAATAAAGACAAAATTTGGAGGGAGAAAAGATGGGCTAGTATGTAAATCTTACAGAAAAAGGTTTAGGTAGCCAAAAAGGCTTTTAACAACTCAGCGATATAATGAGAAATGAGAAGGTACCGATGACGACTGGATAGACTGTTTAGTAAGTTTTTGTAAGGTCAAATAGGGATTTAATTAAGATGCGATAAATGGTATAAAGACAAGAAGGTCCTGTGAGTTCGTAAGTTGAGGAAAACGATTATAATTTCGATTAGTATAAATATTCAGAAGATTAGATTGAGGATTCTCTTAATGGCAATTATAATAAATAAATAAAGGGTTAAAATTTGGTCAAAAGTGTTAAGAATGATCACCAGATTAATAAATGTCAAATGGTGGCTCCGGTAGTCTAGCTATAAGAATATGGTATAGGGGACAAGGTCAAGATAAATCCAAAGTTCAACATGAAAATATTATTTGAAGATGATTGAATTAAAAGAAACTTACGTTTTAAATCACTAATAATTATTAAAAATTAAATCCTTTATTAATTCATTATTAATTTAAGAGAATAAAGTATGCGAATTTAGACTTATTTTTTTACATTAGCCATACCTAGTTTTATCTGTAACAAATTTCACATTTATGCTCTATCATCTAAATTTCTTTCTATCAAAATAAACTTGGAGCTTATCAATTATCTAGCACCAGTAAATATCAGTGACATTAGTCTGCGTGTCAAACTCACTAAACTTAATAGTATCTAGTTCATACATGACGGCTGGATTATGTGGGAACTAAGCCAGGAAAGCTAAAATAGTCTTATCTACTTCTTCCCATTTAGCATGAATGTTCAGCAGTCGATGCAATACAAGGAAATTATGATTTTTTGGAATATCCTCAAGCACCAAGTCACCCATTTCAAACAATGCTAGCTTCTAAGTCATCTGTAACATTGATCTATACAGCAGGATACAACCGTTTCCAGATACAATTTCTCTCTATGATTTCAAAATCTCAAGTTACTTTATATCTTTATCATCCTTTTTCTCTTCCAGTTCCTTTATCTATTTTTCTAGATCAGCTTATGATTATTGCTCTTTAAGCTTCAATTCTATTAAATGATCTAACTCTCTTCCAACTAAAATGATCTTATTTCTTTTACCATGAGGGAAATCTAAATCAGTATCTTAAATATTTCGGGCGTATTTTTCATATGTAAAAGATTGATTAGCTCTGTGCTTCACATAGAATGAAAAATTGCGTTTCAATAAATAATTTAATGCCATTTAATTTATTTATAGTCTAAATATTGATCTCTAACATTGAAACTAGGGGTTTTGGGGTTTTGGGGTTTTGGGG